TAGTTTGTTTCCTTTGTTAAGACTTTTTATACCATTAACAAATCATGAGTTCAGATTTAATGTAAATTTACTTTGGAAGGGATTTACATAAAACCATTTTCCATGGACAGTGTGTCATTACAAGAAATTTGAACATTGCATAGTTTAATAGGTTGTTAATTAACATGAAATACATAAATAAATGAATGTGTTTGCATTTTATTAGTAATTATTACAAGCATTTAAATGCCAAATTACTTACGTGTATGTAGAAGCAAAATGCTTCTAATTTAATAAATATGGTAAAATATAATCTTCAAATTAACAATAGCTAATTAATCTACAGATGAATCGATTTACCTAAAGTGAATATATGATGTGACTTGGATGATTAGAGGTCAAATTTGAGTAATGTTTTTAATGTTAATTTTGTCCATTGAGAGTTCTAGCTTTTTAAAATATTTTAACTTTCATTTTAGGTTCAGGGGTACATGTGCAGGTTTGTCATATAGGTAAACTTGTGACTCAGGAAATCACCAGGGAACTAAGCACAGTACTCAAAAGTTGTTTTTTCTGAACCTCTGTCTCCTCCCATCCTCTTTCCTTAGGTAGACCCCATTATCTGTTGTTCCCCTTTTTCTTTGTGTTCTCATTATTTGGCTCCCACTTATAAGTGAGGACATGCAGTATTTAGTTTTCTGTTCCTGCATTGGTGTGCTAAGGATAATGACCTTCAGCTCCATCCATGTTCCCACAAAGGACATGGTCTTGCAACTTTCTTTATGGCTGCATAGTATTCCAAGGTGTATATGTACTACATTTTCTTGAATGAGTCTACTGTTGATGGGCTTTTAGGTTGATTTCATGTCTTCGCTATTACAGTGAACATACCAGTGCATGTGTCCTTATGGTAGAACAATTAATATTCCTTTGAGTATATACCCAGTAGTGGGATTGCTGAGTTGAATGGTCATTCTCTTTTTAGTTCTTTGAGGAATCACCACACTGCTTTTCACAGTGGTTGAACTAACTTAGTTGCAGGTTTTATGAATGTCATGAATTGAAAAGGCTGGCTTTGATCTTCTCCATCACTGTTTTAGGAGACAAGAAAATGTGTAGAGTAAGTTTATATACTTTCAGTAAAAACTAGAAGAAAATGCCCAGTTCTACATAAACTTTAAATAGATGACAACTTTGAATTTTGTCTCATTGCTTCATGCTAAAAATAATTTATATGTAGGTGTTGATTAGGTTATAAAGCCTATCAAACATACATATATGACTAACTCATTCAGGCTCTCTTCAGTGGTTGTATTAGTCAGAATTGGCAGTTAATGCTGTATTGTTAACCCTGAAAATTCCAGTGGTTTAATTCAATGAAGAATTATTTCTGACTCAGGCTATATATTTAATGTGAGTCAGCAGGGGTTTTCTTTCACTTTCCACTCAGATTAAGAGGGAATCTTGACCAGGTGCAGTGGCTCACACCTGTAATTCCAGCACTTTGGGAGGCTGAGGCAGGCGGATCACGAGGTCAGGAGTTCAAGACCAGCCTGACCAATACGGTGAAACCCCTTCTGTATTAAAAATACAAAAATTAGCTGGGCATGGTGGCACACACCTGTAATGCAAGCTACTCAGGAGACCGAGGCAGGAGAATCGCTTGAACCCGGGAGGCGGAGGTTGCAGTGAGCCAAGATCACACCATTGCACTCTAGCCTGGGTGACAGAGTGAGACTCCATCTCAAAAAAAGAGGGAATCTTAAGCCCTGGTTTCATGCTCACTTGGAAACAAGAGAGAGTGCTGAATCTAGCACTGGCTGCTATTTCCTGTAATTAACATTTTTGTTAACATTTTCCTGGCCAAATAAAGGTCATATGTCTTTGCCTGATTTTGGAGATTTGGAAGCATGAAATCTTCTCATGCACTGGTATGTCAGACTGCTATTAACTTCAATAGGGATGGTACCAGGTTGAAGAGACCAAAGCAAAGACCCAGAACCAACAAATAAGACATATGATTTATTAGTGGGAACTTACATACAGGGATGGTCCAATGGCAGGAGGCTGGACAGGAGAACTTAAACCACATATAAAAAGCATGCAGTTTATAAAGCACCTTCGCTTAGTGCTGTTCCCCTAGCAACCTCCACATGGTAACCCTCATAAGTTATTGCTGTCAGATGCATCTTTCTCACAGTATGCTGGTTATTGTTACATGTGTCAATGATACACTTGCCTAGAAGGCAGGGAACCTGAGTATTTAGTAAATAGAATTTATGATAATACATGCTGAGTATTGGCCCTAGGTCATTGCTGGATAATGCTACATCTATCATCCATGTCAGAAGTTAAAATATATGTACCAACATTTTTTGAGAATTGATATATTCACTTCAACATACATTGATATATGCTAAATGTGATGATTCCTTCAACAACTGGGAATAATGTCAGGTTATAAAGATCACTTGCATACAGTGAAGCGCATCACTAGGTAAAGTTGAGAGAGACAGTTGGGTGAGACTGGGCATTGAGTGAACATTTTTTAATCTTGGAAGTATCATCTTAATATGAGATCAGAACTCTTGAAATTGGATTCTATAATGAGAATACTTTTTAATGGGAGAGTAGTAGGTATTTTAGGCCACGTAAAACAGCTTACAGTCCACAGTTTATAATTAGATGTTTTCATTTTTTTCTTACTCTTTATTTTATAATGTTGTATTTTGAAATGAATTGAGTGCTTAGTTTAACTGATATTCTATGGCATTGTATAAAACACACTAAGAATATTAAATGTATTATTGCTGTTAACTTTCTATTCTTAACAGATATATTTATTAAGTTATTAATCTAAATGTCTATTAATTTGGTGGAGACTCTAAGCTGAGAGGAAAGCAGAGATCAATGGAAAACTTCAACTGCCTCTTGTGTACCATAACATGACTTTATGTTTTATAACGATCAAAACAAATCACTAGAGCTTTTGCTGCTTACGAGAGAAGTCTTTCTTCATTTAAGAAGTCTTATTAATAATAATCTTTAAACTTATCTTTATGCATAAAACATAACTTGTATTTAAAAGATGAGTATATAGTTCATTGTGTTTATTATATATTAGATTTTAAGCACAAAGCATTTCTTAATGGCATTTCATAATTTTTATTTTAACAATGAGTATCCTAAATATGATAAAATTAAAGGTCATTTTATGTTCATAACATATTAATTTTAGATATATATTCTATGTCAATTTCTAATTTATATAAAATTTTAATATTTATGGAAATATTTCAAGGCACATAAAATGTAAGTTTGCTATTCATTATTCATAAACTATGGAACATAAATCTTTTAAATCATTATTTAAACATTTAATAAAATGCAATAAACCTTTATATTTAAGAGTTTTCCCCCCAAAGGCCAGCAGTATGTGAAATAATTTGTTCTTATGCTGTCAATCAGAGGCATCTTATTTAACAGTCGACACTAGAAGAGAAAAATTATTCATTCATAACCTAGAGATCACACTGTAGGCCTATTTACTTTCTCGATCTCTTCACACTTAAATTTATACAAACAACTGAATGCTTCATCGATCGTTAAAAATCTACCCAGAAATTTTTCCAAACCATGCTCTTTCACACATGAGAAGCCTATATATTTCAAGCCATCAGACAATTACATTTTGTAGAAAATAATTCTGTGGTAAGGCAGAGATGTAAAGGGTAAAACAAAGATTTTCTAGTTACTTTCCTTGATTAGATGGAATTTTGAGGTTTACAATTGCTATAACAAGCATTATGTTGTTGAAAACAGGTATTAGATTAGGGGGATAGGACATATGAGGGAGGTGCTAGTAAACAACAGACCTAAAGAAGTTAGGTACAGATGATAGACTACAGGAGTTTTATTAAATTGGATGTTTATGATTTGCCTCATCCTCCTCAATCTCCTTTTATCTGACTACCTTACCTTTGGTTTCATTTTTTAAGAAGTTGTTCTCTTCATTAGGGCTGTGTAAAACACTGGAATTATATAAACTCATACGTCCTGTCCTTAATTCTATCATATAAAGTGCATCCCACTTTGAACACTGTATTGTAATTGAATGTTTACTAGAGGTCACCTCTTTTAGGACAATAACTGTTCTATAAAATGAAGATACAGAGATCTACTTGTAAAGTGGTTGTGAAGATAGTGCTTAGAAAGCACTTAGCCCAGCTCGTGACATGTAAAAGGCTAACTATTCATCCCTAGCACCCAGCAAAGTAACTGGGGCCTTTTTGGTGGGTAATAAATGTTTAAATCAATGAATAATTAAAATTAACCCTGAGTGAATGGAATAAACTGTGTATATTGAAATATAGTAGGTTAGCATTAAAGATGGTGGGGAAAGGTCATAAATTCAAGGTCAGAATTGTTGGAATGGATTATTTTCCTCTTCTCCATGCTTGTATTTTAGAGCAAATGACTGCATGCTTCACAAAGAATTAAAATTTCTAAGTTCTGATCCTGGTTTTGCAAATAGTTATCTTTGTGATGTCAGAGAAGTTTTCTAACTATGTTTTAAACATTCATTTCTGATTGTAAAAAGATGCTTAACTCCATTATTTCCAAGGTCCTTTGAGTAACAAACTTATGATGATATGAAAAGTTCTTTGACATTGATGATCGGGCTGAGCAATTAGCTGGCCAGGATAAGGGACACTCCTCTTTGGTAGCGAGTGGGTGTTGTCTTGTTTTGTCATGCTTCAGTAACCTCAGAAGCAGGAAAAATTTAAGAGCTCTCATGACCCTGTGGAAAATGAGGAGTGCTGATATGCCTGCAGGATTGCTAGAGATCCAGAAATGAAAAATAAAATAGAATTATTCCTGAAGCATGAATTTAATGATAACAGAAAGAAGTTCAAATTTGCATTACAGAACTGAGGCTGTGTGGGAGTTACAATTTTGCTACAGATAATCCTCATTTCACTAACAAGAAGATGTATTAGTTAGGGAAAGGCAATACTGACCCAATAATACAATTGCTGAAAGTCAATGGCATAGGTCCATGAAGCAGCTCTGCTCCTCTCAGCCATTCAAGAACCTATGTTTCTTGTAAGTCACCATGGTATTTAGGGCATCATAGTCATCTATGTGGTCAAAGCTGGGTTAGTACCACATCTGGTTTCCAGCTGGTGGAGAAGAATGATTATACAGGAGCATATGTATAATAAAGGTAACAGACATAATTTCTTCTCACTTTTTTAGTTTTTTTTATGATAACTTAGTTAAATGAACACATTTTAAATCAAAGTATATATATTTTTTGCTGTATGTTCAGGATGAAAAAGAGAACAGATTTTAGTGAACATACGGAAGTGTTTCCCAGGCACAGTGGCTCACACCTGTAATCCTAGCACTTTGAGAGGCCGAGGGAGATGGATCTGTTGAGTCTAGGAGTTTGAGAACAGCCTGGGCAACAAGGAAAACCCTTTCTTTACCAAAAAAACCCCAAAAAACAAAGCACAAAAAAGAAATCTCTACCACTGAAGGTGACTATAAGACTTTTATTTTAATCAAAAGAGATATGGCCAGTGTATTCAATATGCATTATCTGATGAATTATTGTATACTTTTGATTCATCTATCATATCATAAATATATACTTTAATATATAATCATGATACAGTATGAATATGTAATATACAGCATATCTATTAATATTTTCTTAAAAGTATGTTTAATAGATTGGAAATGAGTTCGCAGTAAACTGTTAATTTAAAATATCGTTATGAAACAACAAATCTAATTTTCATAAATAAATCTAGTATCTATATACAGAAAATGTTGGAATAATATACATGAATATATTAGTAACAGTTATTGCTGAAGTTTTTTAGCTAGTTATATTTTCTAATTTTCCCAATGAACATGCATTTATCATGTAAATAAGTAAAAGTTCATGTATCATGTAAATAAGTATCATGTAAATAGGTAAAAGTGTAAAAACAAAATTTGAGGATTTTGAAATGATCACTGGGGAATTCAAATTTAAGTTTATTCTACTTCAGCTATGATACTGCTAGAATTACTAATTTCTTTAACCAAAAGCTTCAGATGGGCTTTTAAAATCCCAAAGCAGAAAACTTAGAGGAAAGAATTTGGGAAGGAAGGTATTAAAGGAACTGGCTGTGATCCTCTGTTTCTCCCTTGATTAATATGAGAATTTTTTAGTCAGTTCGGGCTGTCATAACAAAATACCATAGACTGACTGGGTGCTGAAATAGAAATGCATTTTCTCAGAATTCTTCAGGCTGGAAGTCTGAGATCAGGGTGCCTGTGGGGCTGGGTTCTGGTAAGGGCTCTCTTCCTGTCTTGTAGACAGTAATCTTTTGCTTTGTCCTTCGCCCTGTGCCACTATATGGCATACTGGGTGTGGGAGGTGGGAATGGAGAAAAATGGGTAAAAGAGGGACAGCATATGACACATCCTGGTGCCTCCTTATAAGGGTACTGATCTCATCAGAACAGTACCCCACCCTCACGATGTAATTGCCCCATCTCTACATACTATCACCTTGGGGGTTATAGCTTTAACACACAAGTTTTAGAGGACATAAACTTTCAGTCCATAACAAGAAAATGTTACAAGAGAAAATAAGACAGATAACTGGTCTACTTTTCTTGTATATATAACTAGACCTCTAGGTTAGCAGACTAATGGTATTTCCTAAGAGGAGAGTTTTAAATCTATAAAATACTTTGAATGAGTTGTCTCTTTTTTGTATCTACTTCTGGTAAACTAACCTACAACGTATAGGTTTATGAAGCATAGCTCCCTGGTGAATATCACATAAGCTGTACAAGTGTTATGGATATAAAATGGAGCTGTTTCATAACTTAAAACTGTCCCTGCTTGGTGAGACAATCCACAACCCTAACTTTGAGATCTTATCTTTTATTCTGCCTAGAAAGCATATGCCCGATGAAGGAAGGAGAAGCTGGGAGCCATGCAGGATGTAATAGGCATCTCCTTGCTATTTTTGTGCCATTCTGTCTTATATTCTTAATTTATTAATAAAGCTTGATGCTGGATAGGATCTCTGCATGAGTCTGACTTAACAACTTAATCTTTTATGTTAACTTGAAAAAAACCAGTAGTTGTGACTTGTGGTTCTCTGAGTAATATAAAAGCTTTGCTATTATTAGAACAGTTGCATGTTGTAACAAATTCACATAAAAAGCCTTATCACAAGCCCATGAAAACATAAACTTATAAAATGAATATCTGAAATGAGTGAAACATCTGGAAATGAGTCTTTATTTCTTATCTATATGATGTAGTTGTTTAAACATTTTCATTCTGTTTATTTATGTGTCCTGATGTTGAATATTTGCTTATTCAGTACTCCAGCCATGTTATACAAGGCAGCAATATTTTACTATTAGAAAATTTGATTCCTTTTTAGAGGCTTAAATGTATAGTAAAAGAAGCCAAACTAAAAAGGCTTCATACTGCATGAAAAAAAAAAAAAGAAAACTTGATTCCTTTTTCAAGAGAATATCAGACTTCTATTAAATAGGCAGCATTATTTTTTCCTTTCCAAACCAAAATAAGAGAAGATAAACATAAAGGCTTAATATCAGCATCAAATTGTCTCTTTTTTATATCAATTCATGAGTTTTATCCATATGCAATATATTCAACAATTAGGAATTCGGTTAAAATATAATCAAAATGGTCTGATCTTTAATACAATGACTTGCTGTCCTTTTTCTTTCCCCTTTAAAGGAAGCACTTTATCCAACCTGAGTCTAATTGAAAGTTTTATGCATTTGAGTTTATACCCATTCTGCCTGGAATGCCCCTCTGGTTCAGTTTTGCTTTTGGCTTGTCATGGGTGATTCTCTGGTGACAATGATGATCACCTGAAACTCTGAGCATTTATTTACTTACTATGCACATGTCTACACTCTACTGTAGTCAAAAAGATGGAGTGGAGTATGCTTCTTCTTTTGCTTTTAGTCTTTAGTCCCTACAAGGCTAACATCCAAGTCTGCATCAAATTTTGGCTTCAGTCATGATACAGGCCAAAATTGGCTACTTGCCATCATTTATCTTTTGGTCTTTGTTAGCTGAATGAGAAATATCTATTTTAACGTTATCCAAATATCATTAAGAACAGAACAAACATGGAGGTGCTATCAACAATTTTGGAAGCATACTATGTTTTATTCCAAAAAGTCCATTTTGTATGCAGAATTCAAAATTCACAGGCTATGTCACAAAGTTACTCAGTTAGCAAAATAAAAATGGGCCTGTTTCATCATTCTTCTTCAGGTTTGAAAATCTGCATAATAAGCAAAAAAAAGATTGGAATTTTTTCATGCAATTATATATTTAAATTATCTGAAAGAACAATGACTGCATGTTTAAAAACATTTCCTGATAAAAAGTTGTAATATTATACTTTGCTGATACAAATACTGAAGTAAATATGTAACGAGTGGCATACTAATGCCAAAGTGGACTTACTAACAATCAACGATTGCTTTAGAAAGAAGAAATCATTCACTAAAAATTAATCACACAACCAAACTTGTATCTCCTGCATTCAAATGTTTCTTACGTGATGACTGTGTCCTGTTCCTGGAAATAATTGCTCAAGTTGGTACATGTGCAGTAAAACTGAGATGCAATTGGGAATTCAGAGGCAGTTTTATTATCAGAAAAGTCAATCATACAGATTCAATGCAACCTTTATAGACTGGAGTTTTAAGGGCATTTCCTCAAGTGATTGTGTTATGTAGCCTAACACAATGTACACAAATGTAAATGAAAAAATAGAAATAAAAGTTAGAGTGAGGGCAGTAAGTCTGTTTCCACAAATACTCAAAGTATCTTCTTTAAGCTGTGCACAAAGCTTCAGTTTCTAAGACTGCTTCAGTGAAATTACAACATCATCATAGGTGAAATCTGCTAGTCTAAGAGTTAAAGAAGAACTGTCTTTAATTAGTTATTATTAAAGATATAAGTAAACAAGAATTTGTGGCAACATGATCCTTGACTGTAATCTATTCAGGTTTATCTGGACCAAAACATCTTACTCCTCCACTAATCTCAATTAAAGTGAGCATATATTTAGTACTACAAATATTTAATGCAGTCTCTTCAGAAGGAATTAACAAGTGATAGTACTGAGAAGTATTTTTCTGTAATGTCAGAATAATAACACAAAGGAACTTGATACTATTATTTTTAAATAAGTTATATCAGAGCCTTATGAAGTGTTTTAACTTCATTTGTATATCTTAAATATTTATTCTATGATATTATTCAACTTCCATCCTGGTTAGGGATAAATTGTGATTTCAACACTCAACTATTTAGCAGTTAGCAAAAAGATGCACTTTTTTTGTGGCTGGGGGCCGGGGTGTGGGCGGCGCAGGATCTTGCTCTGTCACCCAGGCTGGAGTGCAGTGGCATACTCAGGACGCACTGCAGTCTCACCCTCCGCGGCTCAAGCAATCCTCCCACCTCAGTCCCCTGAGAAGCTGGGACTTCAGGTGGGCACCACCACACCTGACTAAGTTTTTATTATTATTATTTTAGTAGTGATGAGGTCTCATTATATTGCCTAGGTAGGTCTCCAACTTCTGAACTCAAGTGATCTGCCTGCCTTGGTCTCCCAAACTGCTGGGATTACACATGTGAGACACAGTGCCTGGTCAATTCCATTTTCAATAAACCCTTTTTTTTTTTTTTTTTTCTGAAGGCTCAGGACAATGAAGGAAATTACATTGTAAGAAGTTAAAGGTTAAAATTCCAGCAAACTTGGTCTTTTCTTGGACTCAGAAAGAAAGTCCCCAGTAGACATCTTCCTTCACTCTTTATCTGAATTTCTTGACTTCAGGTTGACAAGGAAAACTCAAATCTTTTACTACAATGAGCAGACTTGCTCTGGCTTCTTCCACCTTCCCCCTGTGCCCATCTCCACTCTGGATGACACCATCTCAAGCTGCACCCAGCACTAATGTTTCACAAGTATCTGAGAGGAGAGGAAATGCAGGGGATGTGCTGTAGATGGGCTCGTATGCCTCCTTCGGACCAGAGAAACATTTTTCTTTCCATTTACATTTCCTTTTCAATATTACTTTCAATGGGAGCTGCCAAGCCTGCTGACCCTCTACTACTACATAATAAAAGATGACCTATTTAATATATATCTCTTTTCCAAGGACAAGCATTAGTATTTGAAGAGACAGTGTGCCTTTAGTTCATATTTAGAAATAATATTTCCTACATTAACAACGTTTCTGCCCTGCCCTTGGAGTATATTGTTCCCCAATGTAGCTCTGAGGGGCTTTTAATTTCTTTGCCATTTTTTCTCATTGCCCACAGGAATCATAAAAGTTTACATTAGTCCTTAATGTCCACTTTTATTCAAACCTAGGGACACACTTGCCATCCCATTCCACTCTTTGGAGTCAGAGCCTCCCTTTGATTTAAAGAAAATGGAAGCTGATGATTACCGAGATGTCCTACAACTGACCCATGAATAAATAAAGACCCGAATAGTCATTAATATGCTGCATAGCAAGTAGACATACATAAGAAGTAAGGTTAGAATTAAAATAATAAAACAATAATCCACACTTCCCGTCAGTAGCACGTAATAATTTCATCTTACCCTAGCTTCTAGAGGGTAAAATGGCTGACTCCTCTCAAGGGGTCCTCGGGGTGAGCTGAAGCTAGAGAATTCTTTTCTAGAACTGGAATAACTTGGAGAAGTAGAATCTTCAAAGCTGTGACCAACCAGTAATAGTAAAATTAATATCGAAAATCATCTTTTAACAAGGAGGCTAGATCCGGACCTGTGGGGGAGGAATATGGACTGGAGAAAGGGACAGTGTTTCTTGGCCCTGTGGAGGGAACAAGCAACTGGACAAAGCAGGGAGTTGTTCCATGGAAACACAGAAGGCTGGATTTTCCTGTCTTCTAACAATAGATTTTAATCATCTGGTATTCTAAGAGGATCATGGTATCCAAGGAAAGATGTGCTTGTTTCTAGATAATGTAATCACTTGCTCATTCGTTCACTTAACCACTTACTATTGAGTTTTGGACTCTGGAATTATCCACTGTAGTGAATAAAATAGACAAAGATCACTGTCCTCATTGAGCTGACGTTATACAGGGGAAAGGCAGACAAGAAACGAAATAAAGAAATAACGATAATAGTAGTTATAAGTGCTATGAAGGAAAAGCAGGAAAGAGGGAAAGCGATAGCCTGGTGAGGAGTGGATGTAAAGATTTGAAAGAGGGTTGAGCACAGTGGCTCATACCTGTAATCCCATCACATTGGGAGGCCAAGGTGGGAGAATTGCTTGAGCCCAGGAGTCCAAGACCAGCCTGGGTGACATAGCAAGGCCTTATCTCTATCAAAAAAAAAAAAGAGATCTTATGAAGGTTGGGCTGGGCATGGTGGCTCACACATGTAATCTCAGCACTTTGGGAGGCTGAAGAGGGAGGATCGCTTGAGCCCAGGAGTTCAAGACCAGCCTGGGCAAGACTGCCAGACCCTGTCTCCACAATAACAATTTGAAAAAAAAGTTCAATGAATTATGGAAAAATAAAAATAAAGTGTATTTTTTTTAATTAACTGAGGATAGTGGTGTGGGGCCTGTAGTCCCAGCTACTTGGAAGGCTGAGGCAGGTGGATGACTTGAGCCTGAGATGTCCTTGTTCCTGCCACTACACTGAAGCCTGAGTAATAGAGGAAGAACCTATAACAAAAAAATTTTAAAAATTAAAAAAAGGTTGGTCCCTGAGAAGGTGATATTTGAGCAAATACCAGAAGGAGAAGAAAGAATGAGCTCTGACATCTGCAAGATGAGAGTTCCAAGCAGAGGGGGCACAAACCAAAGACCATGAAGCAGAATGTGCCTGAAAATTTTCATAAACAGGAAAGAGGCTAGCATAGCTAGAAAGAAGTGAGCACAGGGGAAAAAGTAGGAGTTAGAGGAATAATGGGACGCCAGAATCATGCGCAGGCTTGTGGGTCATTGTATGAACTTTGGCCTTTTCTTTGATTGAGGTGGGGTTATCTCTGAGGATTCGGGTAGAATAGTGACATAATCTGACTTATGTTTTAAAATAATCACTCTGACTGCTTTATACTGAATAAAAGAGGAGGTAGTAGAAGTAGAAAGGTGATTTGGAAAGATATTAAAACAAGCCAGGCAATATATTATGGTGGCTTGGAACAGGGGTATGTCATATACAGGGAAAGATGTAGAGAGATTCAGAACATATTTAAAAAAACAGTATTTGCTGAAAAATTGGATGTGAATTATTCAAGAAAGAAGAGTGAAAGATCTATTCAGGTTTTTAATTCACCCAAATGGGATGATGGAAATGCTATTTAAGTTAGAGAAGACTGCAAGAGGAATATGTTTGCAGGGAGTGAGATGGAGAAAATTAATATTCATGGTTTTGAAAATGTTAAATTTGATGTACCTAACAGATATTCAAGTAGAGAAGTCAAGTAGGATAGTTAGCTAGGTCTGGCTTTCAAGGGAGATGTGTAGATACAGATATAAATTTGGAAATTAACATCATGTATGAATTATGATTAAAAATTATCTGATGTTGGGGGATATTCAAAGAGAACAACTATATTTTATTAGCACTTTTCATCTTGATTCACTGATATGATCTCGTTCCTGTATAAGCATATGTATTAGCCCATGTTTGTCATGAGGCAGTAGAGTCTACTGGTTAACAGCAGAACTTGAAATAAATAGTCTTAAGTTGAATCCATCTGTGTGGTCATGAAGTAATAACTTAATATCTTTATGCCTCATTTTCCTCATATGAGAATTATAACTAATAATATTATTTATCTCAAATGTTATAGTAAGAATCAAATGAATTAACATATGGTAAATGCTTGGAACAAGGTTTGGTACCTAGTGAATTTGGTACATGTAACCATTATCATAATTTTTATTATTACTGCTGTTTTCTTTATTAATCTTATATTTGGAACAGATGCAATTTAAGCACATCATTGCCTTTTGTCAGTTTTTGAGTAGAGAAAAATGAATCTAATTTGGAGTAATTACCTTATTCATATTTATCTAAGTGTAAATTCTGATTGTTTCTAAATTGCAATTATTCATTATTACAAAGCAATATATCTCCCAAACAACTGAATTTTTGGGAAAAAAAATCAAAAATTTAAAATGAGGGAGTTTCCACTATGTTTCTTACAACTTTTGTAAAAATAATTTTTAATTTTAATTTTTATGGGTACATAGTAGGTGTATATATTTATGAAGTAGATGAGATGGTTTGATACAGGCATGCACAGCATGGAAAGTGGGGTATCTATCACCTGCAACTATTTTTCAATAAAATTAATGTATTCTACCATTCATCAGTCTTTGTGATGATACCTAATATAGTTAGATCCTGAGCAAATATATTTATATTTTTTATTAAGAAATAATTTGCTTACCTTGAAATGTACAGTTTTTAGAAGTACAGTCCATACATTTCGATAGATGCATACATTAATATGTCTGTAGCCTGTCAAGATTTAGAATACTTCTGTCACCTTAGAAAAATCTGTTGCACTGATCTCAGGCAATCCGTAACCAACCATCCTCAGGAACCAGTGCTCTAATTAACTTCATCACATACTAGTTTTGCCTGTGTAAGATTGCATATAGGTGGAATCATACACTATTAATTCTTTTGTGTCTGGCTTCTTAAATTTTGCATAATGTTTTTGTAGTTGATCCATATATTTTCGGTGGATCAGTTTCTTTTTATTATAAAGGTTTTGTTTGTTTTAAGCCTGCACCAAATTTTATCTGTTTTCTTGTTGACAAACATTTTGGTTGCTTTCCAGTTTGGTGTTAATACAAATAAATCTGCTGCAAATATATTCTCTTTGTTTACATATCTTTTTATTTCATGTAAATAAATAACTAGGAGTGGCATTGCTGGATCACCGGGTAATTGTATACTTACCTTCTTGAGAAATGACTAAACTGACTTTCAAACTGGATTTATCAGTTTATGCTTCCACAAACACTGTACGAAAATTAGTCGCTCCACACACTTGCCTACATGTGGTAGTGTCATTTTTTTTTTTTTTCTTTTCAGAGACAGGGTCTCACTCTGTTGCCCAGGCTGGAGTGTAGTGGCATGATCTCAGCTCACCGCAACTTCCGCCTCCCGGGTTCAAGCGATTCGCCTGCGTCAGCCTCCCAAGTAGCTGGGACTACAGGTGCCCGCTACCAAGCCCAGCTAAATTTTTTATTTTTAGTAGAGTCAGTATTTCACCATTTTGGCTAGGCTGGTTTCAAACTCCTGGCCTCAAATGATCCACCCATCTTGGCCTCCCAAAGTGCTGGGATAACAGGTGTAAGCCACCATGCCTGGCCTGTCATTTGTTTTTATATTAGACATTCTAGTATATGTTTAGTAGCATAATATTATGGTATTAATTAGCAGTTTTCTGATGGCTACTGATGTTAAGTACTTTTTCTTGTGCATGTAGGCCACTTTTATATCTTGTTTTCTGAGAGGCCAATTCAGGATATTTGGTTAACTTAAAATTTTTGTTTGTCTAATTTATAATGAATTGTGGGAGATATTTACATATATTCTGGATTCAAGGCCTTTGTCAGATACATGTAATGACAATAGTCTCCCACAGTCAGTGACTTGACTTGCCTATTCATTGTCTTAACATTGTCATTTTGATACCGGAGTGCTGGGAAGGGAAGAACGTGGTTTAAATGATAAGGAAGAGGCAACAGGGAAGTGCTGGATAGAGGAGGATGTGTTCCCTGGCTGGGGCTCTACCCCCACAGACCTAGGTGAGGACAGGCACTTCTGCCTTAGCACCCAAATGTCGCATATTCCAAGACCACCCTGGCCCACCACGACCCCATACTGGGCCTGTAAAAACCCGAGACCCCAGCAAGGCAGAGACAGAAACTACTGAACAGTGAAAGGAACACATCAGCGGAAGAAGACAAGCCGCTGAATATGGAGAGGAGGTCGAGGCAGCACGTGGGCAGAAGAGGCAAAAGAGCACACCATAAGAGGCTAGCACACTTGCGGGCCATTGACCCACACTGACTGACTGACTGAAGGGAATAGGCAGAGTGTGGCCGGGGCAGTCTGAGGAGAGCTGGGGGCACCAGGCGGCCCAACTCCAGGGGAAGACCATCTCCCTTCTGGCTCCCGCATCAGCTGAGAGCTACTTCTACTCAATAAAACTTCACATTCATTCTCCAAGCCCACTTGTGATATGATTCTTCCGGTACACCAAGGCAAGAACCTGGTATACAGAAAGCCCTCTGTCCTTGCAACAAGGTAGAGGGTCTAATTGAGCTGGTTAACCCAAGACATCTATAGAGGGTAAACTAAAAGAGCACCTTGTAACGCCCACTGGGGCTTCAGCTGTAAACATTTACTCTAGACACTGCCTTGGGGTCGGAGCCCCACAGACTGCCCTTCTGTGTGCTCCCGTAGAGGTTTGAGCAGCAGGGCACTGAAAAAGTGAGCCACATCCCCATCACACACCCTGCGAAGGGGAAAAGGGAACCTTTCCTGTTTCAACTGGGGGCTCTTCGATGAATCAAAATTTCAATTTTGATAAAGACAAGTCTATTGTTTTTCATGTAAGATTGGTGCTTTCTTTTTTCTGTTCAAAAAGTCTTTTCATACTACCAGTTTGCAAAGATAGTCCCCATTTCTATGGTTCATTGAGATTAACTTTTGTGTTTGATAAATATGAGCAAAGTTTCCTTTTTTTCCTTATGAGTGGCTAGTTGTTTCACACCATTTGTTGAGGAGACTATCCTTTCTCCATTTAACTTTTTTGGCACCTTGGGCAAAAATCAATTCACCGTTGTGACTGTGGGTCAATTTCAGGACACTCTATTCTGTTCAATTGA